GATAAAAACTACTCCCCACCTCCATATTACCACGTCACTTCTCCTTCCTCATTAGTAGGTGGTTACATAGTATTTTTCAGATATTGTTTTCTCTCTCAATATGCAGAAGTGTTTACTCATGTTCTATTTTTCATTTACAGGAATCGATTCACAAATGCAGAGAATAAAATGTTGTCGTGTGGGATGGAGTGAGTCATTAGATCTGAATTTTCTGCCGCCTTATGAAGAGAAGAGTTCTTTCACTGTTGAAGTTGCACGCCAATTGGAAAATATAGAGGGTCTTAACTTAAACTTACCACCACCATACGAATCACAAGAGACAATTTTTCATTTACAGGTATTATATTGTATTAATGAGCTATTTATATTTATAATTATAGATAATTTAGTATATGCACAATTAATATATTTATAATTGTAAACTACTTTTTTTATCACATAATTTATTATATATATAATGAAAATATATTTATGATTGTATTCAATCGGTTTTGTGATAAAAATTTTATCATAGGGAGAACAGGTGCAGGAAGAAGAGTTGAACACAAAGATTGAAATACACGATAGGCTGCGGCTTGATCTGAACTGTCCACCCATCTATGAAGATTCATATCTGATGCTCAAGAATATGAAAAATCTTGTCGAATGATGTCTGTGGATATTCAAATGTTGAAAATATTAGTTCCACAGTTGTCTAATGCATTGTTTTTTATCTGATAGAAATGTTTGTTACGTCTGATGTTGGGTTGTTTTTTATGTGATAGAATGTTTGTTGTTTATGTAATTTGGGTGTGATAATGAATAATATTATATATTTTGGTGTTCTTCATCTTAAATTTATTGTGTAATTTTTCTCTTCTTTTGTAAATTGTTATAAATATAAAATATAATGTATTCAAATTTGCAACCATTAAAACATGAATTTTAGATTTGTTGAATGATAATAAAAATAATCAAACAATAATATTTAATTATAATTTTTGTATATAATTTAAAATATGAGCAATGGATTTTTTTTGTTAATGATATGGTTGCTAATATAGACACATTAGGAACAAAACTATCTATTACAAAAATTGTAGCTAATGAAATAGATTAGTAACACACATTTCCATTTCAGATTCGGTTGCTGCTAGTAAATATTAGAAACGAATATATCAGTTGCAGATTTGGTTGCTACTACTCTACCATTAGAAACGATCTTGGTTGTTGCAAAAATTGTTGCAAATAGTAACGAACTGTTTTCCGTTTCCGAGCATTAGCCACCCTGTTTTCACTAACAAATTATGAAACGGAATTTGTTTGTTTCTGTTGTGTATTAGTAACAGAAAAATACCCTTAAGCAACAATAATTTCCGTTTTTGATTCTTCAATTTCTAGTAGTGATTGAAGGAAACAAATCAAAAGTCAAGGATATATTAGTCACTTAGTGTCTCATTATGTAAAATTACAAAGAATTAAAGGGTTATATTAGTACGAGTGTTATTAAAATACCTAAGTTAGCTAAATAATATTTATGGAATGTCCGAACCTAGATTATTAGTTATTAATATATCAATATTATTTGTCCAAACCTAATTACGAAACATGATTCTTCGCCAAGTAGGATTCCGAAGCACAAAAAACAGCCACGTAGGCTCAGCGCATTCAGGAATTATATATAGAGGGGATGGACGATCTTGAACGAATAAAAATTTCACACTTATAATTAAATAATTTTTTTTTATTATTCAAATTTTTAAATTAAAATATTATACTCTGTAAAAAAAGAAACAAATAAAATTATGACATTTTATAGCATAAATATACATTTTTTAATAATGAATCGACCAGTCTGACGATTAGTCTCTCGCATACAAAATTTGTGTCTTCGGTGGATATGTTATGTTTTCAATTCAAGTTAATTAATTAATTCAAAGGATAATATCTTTGATTGTTTAAAGCAAAACATTCACTATTTTGTGGATAATAATCTATATATATATTTTTTTTTGGTGCAATAATCTATATATTAACTTACACATCAGCCAACCAATAATTAAATGGAAGATTATGATCGAGTTAATTACAAGGCCTTCTTTAGAAAGCAGGTCATTAAATAAATAATTATATAATGTTTAAGACACCTACTTTTGGAAAAAGAAAAAGGAAGAGAGAGCAAATAAATGAATAAATTAATTTTTGAAAAAACAAATAAATGAATAAATTAATTAAAGAGAGTGATAGTGCTTCTAATCTTTATTCTCCACTAATATGGCCACTTATGAGTGGCATTTGGTGCATCACCTTTGTCGTTTTGGATAATTGGAAGCACTAATTCATCCATGGACATCTTTTTTTGGCCCCAACCTAATTTGTCCATGAAATTAAACTCACAAAAAGACAATTATACCCTCATTGTCTTCTCGATCGTCTGAAACGTTATTAGACAGATTTAACGGTTAAATGGTCGTAATTCTAAAGAAAATAGTATAAACTTCATAACATAAGTATGCTCTTCGGTTAATAAAATTATGGCAAGTCTAACCCTCCGGTTAGGCTATCTCATACAATATTTATGTCAAGTCGAAACTCTATCAAAATATGGTTAATTTATATTTTGTATCATATATGAAAATATGACTATGAATACAAAAATTGTTAACTTTTAAGAATATATTTGTAATTTAAATTACTCAAGTGTTACACAACTTTAAAGATCTCAATAGGTATATATAATCTGAAGTTCATATTTATATGGACTACTTAAAAACACAAAAAATTGACATATATGTGATGATCAAGCAGCAGACGAGAGTACATAGCAGCCTTATCCAAGGTATTAAAAGTTTGTTGGCAAGGGAATGGACGATAGAGGTTCAGCATATTGGGAGTCTACTTCTAGTAGGCTTGGGGCACCCAGTGGGGCTTAGGCTTCCGAAGAACTCACAAGTGAGGGGGCGTATTAGAATATAATTACTTGTGACTTGTCTCACATTGTTCATACATGGAAAATAGACTCACCTTATAAGTCTAATGAGCTACTCCTCCCTCCACCAATTGGTTTTGGAATGGAACCCTACTTGGGCTTAATATGGGCTTTTCCCGTTTTGGTGCGTTTCATGTTAGTGGGTCCGCACCAGTTTTTCCCCAGTTTCTTACACATCGTGAAGAAAACTTTGCAGCAGACTACCTTGCGTCAATGACCTCGACCTTGTGGAGTGACCTTCACATACTTGACGACCGTCCCACAGGGGTGAAACCGTGGCTTGAACATGATATGCCAGGATGTGGCTCACCCTCGTAACGTCGTAGTCTAAGGCTCTCGTCTCCTCTTTGTACCCAAAAAAAAAA